GCCTTGTTTCAAAACCTATCAACCTGGTAGTAATGAGGCCACATTTGTCAATATTTGCTAATTTCTGCAGGGAGTAGAAACTTATTCAGTCACAGATAACCTTCTTATTTCTGTATGAATAAACCCAGAGGATATGAAATATGTTCCATGTCACCAAGTAGAGTAAAAACCCGCTCGATCAGCGAGTTCTGGATTTACGAGTTTCGCATATTCGCGAGTTAATAAATGTATGTTAATTCCCTATTTGCCAGACTCCAATATATAGTCGACTCGTTTATACATTTTGGTAGAAACGAGACAACTGTGGGGTCAATTGAAAAGAACGCAAACAGGGAAATTGTTGCAGCGAGTGCTCCTCAGTGCTAAAATGATAACAGCTGTGCGCCATTGTTATCAAACACCTGCATTTCCCAAGGAGTCTTCCTCCTGAATTCCTCATTAACACCACCTCCATCGTCATCAAAGCATCATCATAATAAAATTTAAAAAAACTGTATTCTAATTTATTGTAGTAATTGTTATTAAACATGAACCATTTTCCCCCATGTTCACTCTCACCAGGAACTTAATCCTATTTTTTCCATTGGAACAAGGTTTGTCCATTCATGAGTGTTTTCAAGATTGTAACCCTTGCGGACACAGCGGGCTTACTGTATTGCCCTGGAGCAGTTTCATTCATAAAGGCCCACTTTATTGAAACGCTGACTGCACAAACAGCATCAGAGACCGACTGCACAGAGCTCCTTTAAAAACATCTTAGCCTTTGTAAAACCACTATACAGGATATTCTATGAATAAACTGACCTCCACCATGGGAATGATGCATTTTTGGAGATTCAGGGCCGGTAGCACAGATGAGTGCCGCCCCATTGCCCCTCATGTGAAGCCGGTGTGCACTTAAGCCGTTGGCGTACGGCAGAACCACATGCGGACCAAACAGCGTGGGGAGGGCAACGTACTCTGCAATCAGTTGAGTGTGGTACCTTTTATGTCCGTCGAAACCTCGAGGGGGTTCTATGCAGCAAAAATATTTGCTGCATCTAAAACACACCATTATTTGGTGCCCTCATTGGCGCCAGGCCAAGGAGGCTTCATCACCACTGAACTTGGCCTCGATGGCAGTGCAGTGGTGTTCGTTCCTCACTCTTGCACCCTAGGTCGGCTCCCTCCTCCCCCAGTCTTCTGCCTCGCTTCCAAAACGTGTTTTGAGATGTTGTTGCATTTAGATTTCGCATAAATTAAAAGTGTAGCTGTTGCTTATATGTGCGAGGAGTAATGGTGCCGTCCATCTGGGTTCACCTCCTTATCGTTCATATCGGTGGCAAATGGGGGGGGGGGGGGGGTCTGGACCTGTCTTTGGCATACCCCGAGGCCAACTTAACCTTAAATGAATAGGTGCCTGCTAAAAGCATGGCTGAAATGATTTAGCAGAATGTATCCGATGCTGGACAATCATGCTTGACATTCAAATACTTCCGATGTGCAATCTCAGGCAAACGCCCATCCTCGGTTCACTCTGACGCCGTCTGAAATAATCTTTATGACTTGGGCCAGCCACATCACCACCAAAGCACAAGCAATGGATTTAAAGGGCCACTCAAAATATGCCATCGCGTCTAAACGTTGCTGGGGCGTAATATATTCCTGTAATCAGATTACCAAGCGTGGTAATTAACGTCGAATATTGTGGGATTTTAATTTGTAATCCCATTAGCGAGCTCATTGATGGCGCCGCCATTTTACGAGTGGGGGGGATAAATGACTCCAAAACACAGAGAGGGTGTGGTGGGAGGGCAGGTTGGGGGTGAGGCGATGCCACACTTTTCTTAATGTTAAATATAAAAAAATATCAGCGCTTTCTGTGTCGGGGTTTTTGTAGCCGAGGGAATATCTTTAACATGTTAAGGACACGGGTTTAAAACTCTGGCTGATATTGCATGGTACATTGTATTCCCATCCCCACTCTCCACTTAGCAGCAGTGTTTAAGCCAATTGTCTCCTACCCCTATCCACAGAGATTCTGTGTGAAGCTAAACCCTTTTGACTGTTTTATCCTGGCTGCCAAGCGGCAGCAGAATACCGCTGAGCCCCATGCTGTGGCTAGGGTACTCGACTCACATTTGCAAGATATTACGAATACCCATGCAGGTCAACTCAGCTCACCATTCCTCCAGGATAGGAAATAGAGGAGGCCTGTGATGAACAGTGGTTGTTGTCCAATGGAAAGAGTGGTCCCCCCCACCCTGGGAAAGTTATGTACAAATGCAGTGTTGTGCAAAGCCAACACACACGGTCTGTCATGTACGCTGCACTTCGTCTGCTCATTGCTGCACACGAATAATATTTGAGAGCAAATATTATTCGTGTGCGGGGATGAATGTTTGCAAGACACCTGGCTCCCTTCAAAGAACTTAAAATGGCACCCGAGTTTATGGTTACAACAGCGACGGCCAAACAGCGCTGCGCAATAAATCAAACTTGGGAATGAGTGACGGCGCTAGCCGCGTGCGTCGACTTTGTAGGAGCCAAACAACCCGGCGCAGTGTAACGTACTGTACACACGCTGCACACGGCTCGACCTGAATGGCACCGCTTGTGCCGCATGCACAATCAAGTGACGTCAGATGATTTATTTCAGGAGCAGTTTATACATTAAAACTAATTGTGCATAAACAGCTTCTGTTCCGAATGGTGACAAGTCTAGCACATGTGCATGCAGAACAACCAATTATCCCCAATTCAGCTGCACAGGCTCTTAGGGAAAGCGTCATTAGCGAGTATAAACTCAATCCAGTGTGGCACATTAGGGATTTTTTGTGAGGCCAGCACCAAGTACACGCAGCGCCTCTGTGTTCCTAGTGCCGATATTGGCCAATAGAAGCCAGGCAATAATTGTTGACCGAATCAACCTCGAGGAAGCTACAAATTCCTAAAGATATAGGTGGCTAAGAATGAAATAAGGATTCTGGCATTGTAATTCTGAAGACTTTCCAACACAAAAGAGTGCACTGCATGATACATCAACGCATACGATCATTTGCGCATGCACACTGGCCCCATTTCTGTGAGGTCGAGATGTGGTGTGGCTCTCCCCTCCCTTTGGTCAATGAAAACCCGCCCGTCTGAATTGGTGTATCGATTCATTTTCCTTTCCGCTAGAGAGCGGTAAACTTGCTTGGGGGGCGTGCAGGCCTGTGTGACGTTCGTTGTGGGAGGCTCCAAACCAATGGCATGTGGCACAACACGCAAGGAGCGAGATGGATCTTGGAAACCGAGGCCGAGAAAGTCCCACTGCGTTCAGCGAGGCTAAGTCCACATTCTACACGGGTCTGGTGTGGGGTGCGAGGTAGCGGTGGCGCCGCACTGGGCATGGATATGATCAAGGAGTGGAAAGCTGCAAAGCACTGTCATGGAATTGAAACTCTGGGTCCCAGTTTAACCAGATAACTCAACACCAAGTTTGAGAAACTAGACGGTAATAGCACACACATAATGTAGGTCAATAACACACAACCGCAGGCTCGGTTAAATGTGTTACACAATGCCACCTTTTTATAATTATGTTTTCCATGTCATTTTATATGGCGTTTCATTTTTAACCAACATTTTTATGCACGCACAGGCTACTTACTACAGATTGAAATACTGCAGTCTTGTGAAATTGAACCCTTCTAATAGCCTTTTACCAAGGTGGTGCATTATTTATATGTAATGAGATAGCGACATCTACTGGTTGGAAAACGGAAGCATGGGTACAGGCACCATTATAAGCATTATCCAATCCCCAAAAGGAGAGGTATCTAGGCCAAAGGTGAAGGGCAGGGCCGGCCAAGAAACTGCGAGAACCGGCGAGAAAGTTCCACGAGAGGGCATGGCCGGAGGCGGAGCCTAGCCACGCCTGCGGCAATACAAGCGAACGACTCGGGGGTCGATGTGTGGAGTCTTGGGTCCGGACTGCGTCGCTGCTCGCCGTCATCTCTCTCCGCCGTTGGGCCACGTGGCGGATCTCCTGCGGCGTTCCACCGCCCTCCCCGGCACGCCGTCGGCCAGCGGCGAGACCGGGAGCGGACGGGCGGAACCCGCCGTGTGATCAACCGTGTGTGTAGTCTGTAGAACGTTAATATCTAAGTGTGTACTTGGAGAGGAAGCCGATAACGTTGGCCTGTGCTGTGCCCGTACGTGGAATAAAGAAGAGTACCCTCTAAACAACGTGTCGCGGAAGTCGCTCATTACATATACATGGAAAATTAGAAATAAATATAAACACTAATAAACAAAGTTATATAATAGCACACCTACGCATAACCAACTTAGCAAATGTAGAGAGGGCAAGTGTCCCCCATACACTTTTTTTTAAGATGAGCACTGCAATCCCTAGAGTGTAAGGTATGTAAATAATTTATGAAAATATAATGGACAAACACGGGGTAATGCACGTACGGTATGAGCAACATGGATTGCCCACAAACAGAAGTTTTCGTCCAGCTGGTGGGATAGGCCAGGCTGACGAATATTGCAAGTCGATCGTGGTGGTAGAAAGTGGTGAACCGTCGTCAATTAAACCCAGGTTGCAGGAATTATATTGCAGTGCATGCATCCCTGCACTACTTTCCCCACAACACACATACACAAAATAAAGCACCCTGTGGGTGAGAGAATGGGCAGAGGACGCTCCGGTATGTGCGCACACACACCAGGTTGGATTAGGCTCGGGGTATGGAAGGGAGACGCAGAAATCCCAGAAGAACAAAACTAAAACAAAACCACGCAAATGCAAGCAAGCGTCCGCGTAAGCTCACGCGCGCAAACCCAAGTACAGACACACTAGCACAGTTATGAACGAACAAGGACTACTGCACACACAAGAGATCCTTTGGGCTGAATAACACATCTAGGTGAACGCACACGAAACCGGTTACAAAGACGACACACGACGAGATGATGACAAGGAACACAAGAGAGTTGTTGGGCCTGCCGGGTGGATGTTGCAGGTGACTTACGCTTGGCCCCCTTCTTGTTTTTGCGCTCCTTCTTGTACTGCTCTTTGAGCTTGGTTATGAGTCCATGGTCGATGTCCCATTCCTCGCCGCTCGGGGACAGCTCCTCTTTGTCTACGAGCGTCGGCACAAACCACCAAGCCAGGCTTAACAGAGGCATGCGCGCGGGCGCACACGCACACACACTCCCTTGGCGCAAGTACGTATACAGGTGCAGGGACGTGACCTTGTACAGCCGCACGCATGGCCACCTATCTGCCCTGGCATGCATAGAACTTTTAATGCAGCAAACAACAAAATATATACAGATCCCCACACAGCATTATAGACTGTTGTGGCAAGTGCTGTTAGCAAGCACGGCACATCTATGGGGAGGTGGTCTAGCCAACACAATGCCTGGCCGCCTTCAACTCCCCAGCACCAATGTCCATACCGCACCAGATACTTATGTAATGCCGAGTCGACCTAGGTGTGACCCAGAGTATTGGTATATCACTTGCCACCGATGTTAACCATGGCTGTTAATCAAACTCATTATGTCGCCAGGTTTCTAAAGCACTGCGCTGACGACTGGGCCACCACTCCCCGTGAATGCAGCATTGCACACGCACAGCAGGCGTATGTCCTTGGCATGCACCTAAGAGATTTCTTACAAAAACAATTACAAACATATATTTGTATCTCCTCACACTCAATAAAAGAGAACCTGTTGAGTTGTAACTAATAGCAAGAACAAGAGCTGTTGGTAAGCAGCTATGAATGCTGGCATTTCAAGGGAAGGTGGTGTGACCCTCACCATCCCCTGGATATCTTTGTTGTACCAAGTACTCGTTGAAGGCTCAGTTGACCTAGAGGAGACTTATACCAGGCTTACATACCAGTTGGCTGTGGTGAGCATGATATCTAGGTATCGAGCACACGTCGCTGGGATCGCATGCGTGTGAGCGAACACACACGAGCGCAAGGGAAATAATTATCTGTGCGTATCACGTGCGTGCGTGTGTGTGCATAAGAGACGTATTCTCAACCCACACGCACACAGCAGACTTAGCACTCAAGAACACATTCAAGAAAGAGACTGAGCCCATCATCACTCAGATGATCCACTCTCGTGTAACCTGACAACCAAACCCAGCACTCGCACTGGTCAGCACTTAAGCGCACCGATGCATTGGGAATCTCGGGAATAAAACAGCACATGGGGATAATGTTTCAATGGGCTTGGCCATCAGCTTGCGAACCAGGAACACATTTGATCCCTACTGCCCTTGCAGATAGGCCGCAGGAAATATTCCGGACATTTGTGGTGACCAGTCACTGTGAGAATGTTTGGTATTTGTTCTAAATTGGTTCAGGCAATGGAAGAAATATCTGTAATCCTGCGCTTCAGAGGCGGAGTTCGTGGAAATGTGCAGGTTTAACTGTTAACTGCAACTTGCAGAGCCTTGACGTGTCCAGTAGATAGCAGTACAGCAAGTAATGCAGCAAGCAGGTTGCTGACATTTTTGTACGCGAGTATTTTCCCATCTTACACAAGACTTCCCTTGGCAAGATGGACCCCCCCCCACCACCACCAACAAAATAATCAATGAGAAATTAGAAAAACACCACAGAGTGCTGAGATTCGGAGAAAGAGTCTTGAGATTCCAAGTAATTTGAGAGCAAATAGTTTATTATTAGTAGTGAGTGAATAAATCGTAAATATGGAAAACACACCACTCGCTTAACTTCTTGTGATAATTCAACACTTTTGCCGACAGTGGTGGCGTACGACTGTAATCCAACAACTAGGAAATGGGGTTTGTGGATGAGCCAGGGATGGAGACATGACACCATGTGTCTGTCCCAAGGAAACCTACAGGGCTAGCCGGCTCACCATTGCGTCTGTCCCAAAGAAACGTACAGGGCTAGCTGATTCACCCATGTGTCTGTCCCAAGGAAACCTACAGGGCTAGCCGGCTCACCCATGTGTCTGCCCCAAGGAAACGTACAGGGCTAGCCGGTTCACCCATGTGTCTGTCCCAGGGAAACGTACAGGGCAAGCCGACTCACCCATGTGTCTATTCCAGGGAAACGTACAGGGCTAGCTGATTCACCCATGTGTCTGTCCCAGGGAAACGTACAGGGCTAGCTGGCTCACCCATGTGTCTGTCCCAGGGAAACGTACAGGGCTAGCTGATTCCCCCATGTGTCTGTCCCAGGGAAACGTACAGGGCTAGCCGGCTCACCCATGTGTCTGTCCCAGGGAAATGTACAGGGCTAGCTGATTCCCCCATGTGTCTGTCCCTGGGAAACGTACAGGGCTAGCCGGCTCACCCATGTCTGTCCCAGGGAAATGTACAGGGCTAGCTGATTCACCCTTGTACCTGTCCCTGGGAAACGTACAGGGCTAGCCGGCTCACCCATGTGTCTGTCCCAGGGAAATGTACAGGGCTAGCTGATTCACCCTTGTACCTGTCCCTGGGAAACGTACAGGGCTAGCCGGCTCACCAATGTGTCTGTCCCAGGGAAATGTACAGGGCTAGCTGATTCACCCTTGTACCTGTCCCTGGGAAACGTATAGGGCTAGCCGGCCCACCCTTGCATGATACCTGTTGTCTCAGTGGGTTCTCACCTGGTGTCAAGGAATGAAGTGTGTATTGAAAGCAGTACAGCAAGTAGGGTTCTGACCTATCATTGTTATGAGTTATCCCCTCCTATGCATGGGTTTTATTCAAGTACTCTGGTTTTTATGATAAATAGAATCTGGCCAAACACCTCAAGAAGCAGGATCCTCTTTAAAAATAGTCAAGTGATAAAGGAAAACAGAATCTTAAGATAATGGTGAGGTTTTCGTGAACAGAAAAGTTGAGAAATATCACGATTATGAAACGTGAATTTGCGTTGTCATGTTTTAAGGGCGGTGACAGAGACAAAGCGCTTCAGTGCAAATGAAATTTGAAGAGTTTTCGGAACTATAAATGACAATATTTTGTAAGTGCACGAATCACCTGACGTTACAACAAACTGTGTAATTAGGTCCTTTTTTGGTATACTGACTAATCTATTGAGATTTGTTATAAGGTTAAGCATTTTAAATGTAAAAACTCCTCACGCAACAGCCTTACATATGAATGGCTTGGGGAAGTGGCAGCAGGTACTTACTTATTCCGGGGTCACTTGAATCTCTTCGCTCATGTTAAAAAAGGTCAACCCTTAGAGCTCACGGCTTTGCTAAAATCCACAGAAATACTTCAGCATGAATACTTTCTCTTGCGAGTTTGGCAGACTATCAGTCCGATACTCTTGAGAATCCAGTTCAACATGAAGAATAAAAAATCTATTTAATACCTTCATCTCCCTCATGGTTGAATTAACCCAGTGGCCCCATCATTCCAAATAAACATATTGGCCGAAAGTTCAAGGTAAAGAACAGTTCTGATGTGCATGGCATAAGAATGCTGCGATTGCCAAGACTGCTGAATACGTCATTCTAATTCTGAACTTCAAGAGCGATTTGAAGATGTACGGGAAAATTTAAAACTTGAGTGCTCATTTTGGCCGCTCTAAGCACTTCTGCACTTAGTGGTAAAAGATATCACATTTAAAATGTTACCTTTTTGGCAGCCAAGTGCACCAGAAAAACATTGTTGGCAGACGTAGCGCATCACTCATTTGTTCACTCATTACAAGGAAGTCCGTTATAGGTGGCACTGTGGTAAGAGCATTACTCACAATCAGAAGAGTTTCAAGTTTGTAGGTCGATTGAGCACATTGTCTCACTTAACTCCCACACAGCTTAAAAGACGCTGTCCACTCTTGGCAGTGTTCACTCAAGCACTGTCTTCCGGACAGTCCTGTTTCTTCACCTGAGGAAGGCTACTTGTGTTGTGGCCGAAACGTCGAGAGAATTTTATTCTATTATTTTATTCCCATTCTACGTGACTTTACCGAAAGAACCCAGAAGATGAATCCCTGCAGTCACGAAAGCTTTAAATCGAAATTGAAAAGTCCAATAGTTGTTTGAAAGCATAAACTGGGGTAAACAAAACATAGACAAGAAATACCCCCACCATTTTCAAAACATTAAGGACATGATGTAGTTGTAAAGACAATTCCTGTTTTGAGTTTTAAAAGATGCTTGAAAAGAGTGCAGGGAGATAACCCATGCATATTAGGGGAGTGTCCTGCATGGATAGGCTGCAAAACTCTGAAGACATGTCAGAAACATACTTGCGGTACTGACATTGCACCATTTGGTTGGTCCGACACATTTAAAAAAATTTGTACAGATATACAAGTTCCTCGAGATCTGTCCAAGTGGGGAAAATAATTTTCCCTGCAACAATCCCAGAGGACTTGTATAGTGCATACCACCATCACAACCATCCCCATTGTCACGGTAGAAATTAATATGGAATGGGCCTCCTATCACAGCAGCTCCTGTGCCCGTGTGCCAAATGGATCAATTCAGCGGCCCTAAAAAATATTCATATTTGACCACGATACTTACACACAAGCATCGGTATCCAGAAGTGAATAATGTCACGGGACACCAATTCACAGAGAGGGCAGGAAAATCTGGTGGCACACGTTTTAACTGGCAATTTCGTTGCAGCAGATGACGCTCATAGCAATAGGCGATGGAAATCAAACTAGCAAACTGTACGACTTGGGTAGAAGAGTGTGCTTAGAGACCCATATCCACAAGCTGACTTGAAAACTGAGAAAGACAACCCTCAACAGGCAACTAAATAAAATAGAAGTAACATACACACAACCACCAGAACAACTGTCAGGAGACAATTCCCACCTTGGACACAAGGAAACACACTCGTTACAAACTCAGAAACATGACACACAAGTGACGACACAATGACACAAATGATGAAAGGGAATGGTACAGGATTTAACTGCAATGGGGAAAAGTGGCTGATGCTGGTGGCGATGGCAATCAATGCAAGGCATAAGCAACAATCACTATGCTGTTGAGCACCATCAGCAATTTGCGTGGCCCATAAGCCTTACGCTGTGATCACCAAGCTGCGGACCGATTGTGGCCAAGTGTCAACTAAGCCAATACGTGCAAGGGTGATTACGGGCATGGATTTCTGCTGTGATTAGCACCCACATACAACACCTAGTGGCATTATCGGTACAATGCTGAGCTGTACAGTTTTTATGTACTTATTCTAGTGTGTGCCTTATTATACTATGGTATAAAGTGGTGCATTGAAGCATACTGCAATGGTACAGAAGGGTAGAGCACAGACAAAGAGAATTGACGTGGAATATGCAATATTTTGGGTAGCACCACACAAAGCATGTAATAGGATGCAAAAGGAAAGTATTTTTCAGTATATCAGTGGCACCTCAACCTCTGCCTTGCAAGCATCTCGCTAGCAGACTGTTGGCGCAAGTGCTGTTAGTGAGCACCTATGAAGGCCAGCACGCCACACGAGGGGGTGGGTGGCCAACACCACACCCGGCCGCCTTTATCTCCCAAGTGGTGATGTTTACACATTGCACCAGGTACTCATTTGAGGCTGAGTCGACCAAGGGGGGGCCCAGGACCAATTCTGAGAATCGCCAATGGTGTTGGGCGTCAGAGGGAGTCGAACTCGGCTGCGTGCTAACCGTTGCACTACTGCGCCCTACTCGTGGACACACACAGATACCTGCTTTGGATCATCATCATCCAATAAATAGTAGTATTTATACTCCTATTTATTGCCTAGGTATGTTTTTGGTATATGGTTTAACATGTTTATTTAAATTATTAATTTTTTAGTTTATTTGGCACAATACAGTACTTATTTCAATTGTGATGTCTATTTTTGGTTGCCATGTACCTTACCCCATTATTTCGGTAAGGCTTAAGTATTGAATATCTCATGGTACTTTCCAAAAACTTAACCCCCGTGATATTCAAAGGTCTCTTGTCCTTTACTTTTCTAGGTAAGCCTCACTAGATCTAAAGACCCAGGAGAGTATTGTATGAGGATATTTGTCTAATTATATATGTTACTTATTCTGTGATACTGTGTTGGCAGTGGTCCACAATCACATAACTAAACAAGTATTCATCAAGAACACTGTTTTAAAAGAACACGTATGTAATAGGTAATGCTTTCTTTGGGCCATGGTCCTTCTTTGTACTGTGAAGGGCTATCTTAGGTAGTCTGTATGTGGGAGAAAATGGCAGTGCCCAGAGCAAGCCTACGCATGTGAAGGGAGAACACTCAAAGGTCGGTTGCAAAGAAAGGTTAAAAATCCATTTTCTGTACTGCCATCTTCTGGCCACCTCGCCACCCAGTAGATTTTGGGGTTTCATAATTCTCTGCACGATCCACCAAACCTTGTCTACAAAGTGCCGGTCTGCCACAGCCTGGTGAAGTATGGCACAAGGACGGTGTTCCATACGGAGGCTGTGGGGGTGCAGAGGGGAGCGCCGTACCCCACTCGGTGCCGTCCCCGGAACTGCGTGCCTCACCCGCACCCTCCCCGTCCTCTGTGGTCACCAGGAAGTCAAACTCCTTGAGCGCCTCCTCCGTGTCGGGGTCATCAGCGAGGTCCGCCGCCAGGCCCTCGTTACCGATCTGCGTCGTCACACAGCGGCGCTTGTTACCAATCTACAGCATCACCCTGTACGAGGAAATTAGTCAAGTAAATGTTGTGACTGATGGTCCGTCTTATAGATGGGTTGCCTAGGTTGTACGTCTTATGTACCCACCTCCCCTGTTGGCCCCACCCCTTTCGAATTGGTCACAACATCTCGCTTCATTGGTCAGTGTAACAACATTTCAGGAGGGTAATTTCAGGCTAGGATGACTGGTGAAGGTGATTTGAATGTTGGTTCGTGTAGGTTGTTGCATTGGAGGGTATGTTTCGCTGAGCTTTTCGGAGGGTCATGGCATTCCAATGGAAGGTGTGTGGCGATTTTTCGAGTTGGTGGGGGCTTGACTCATCTTGGATGTTATGCGTTTGGCATGTTATATAGGTTGGGTAGAGTCATGTGTGTATGTTGTGTTAGTCCAGACTTGGGGTTAGTGAAAATATAGTCACGGTTATGTAGAGTCAAGAGCGTGTGTGTAATTATGGATTTTGCAACAAAAGTGAAAGTGTGTGTAGGCAAGGTTTGTGTCAGGTGATTGTTGTAGTTTCCTTTTTGATCAGTGTGTAGTTAGTCCTGGTTTGTGTTGTTGCATAGGCGTGTGCGCGTGAGTGCGCGTGTGTTTAATTAGCCTGGGTTTGTGCTGTCATCGGTGAGTGTGCGTTTCTGTGTTGTGTGATATGTGTGCGTCTGCGTAGCTAGTCTCCGGTTGCTGTGTTAATTGCGTGTATAATGAGTTCAGGTATTGGCTTGACAAATGTTAGTAATGAGTTGGGGTGTTATGGGTGTGTGTGTTATGGGTGTGGATGTTTGTGGCTTATCTGGGTCATGTCACCGGGGGCTACGCCGCACCTTGGCCTTTTTGCTGGCGCGTGGCCGATCCCGCTCATCCACGAGGCCGACTGACTCGTCGTCGTCGTCGTCGTCCTCACCGTCGTCGCTGTCCTCCTCCTCCTGCAGGAACTGGAACGTATCCACCACCGAAGGTACCAGTGGCTCGGAGCGAGACTTGTCCCCGTTCCTATGCAGGGCGGGTTAATGGGTGTCACGCCATGCCACATTATTAAACTATTTTAAACTGATAATAGGTTTTTCCCCTTTTTTCTGGCAACAATAAAAAAAAAATTAAATTGAGCAACTTTTGCAAAGATGTCATCAACCAAGTCAAACCTTAGCTGGCTTATAATTATACAGCCATTTACGTTTATACCAGTGGTTGTATTCGCCCCCGTGCAGGGCGCCATCGCTCTCCCCCCGAACCCCCTGCAGCATAACAAAAGGTGGTTTTACATGCTAGCGTACCACCGCCTCCCCCTGGACCCCCGACAGAATAACAAAAGGCGGCTTAACTTAGCCCCCCCCTCCCCACCCACGTCCCTTCCTGACTCCTCCCCCCCCTTAACCTGTATATAAACCCGTGTGTCCCAGAGCTGTTCACTTGACACAGTTGATTTTGCTGTGACTGTTCCACCTGAAGACGGAAGCTTGTTGTTTATTTTACCTACGTGACTTTACCGAAAAAACCAAAGAACAATTTAAATTTTACCAGGTAAGGCCCACTGACCTTACCACAAATAATATCTCAACGAAGTCACTTATGTGGAAATTTATAGCAGCCAAACACTCTTAACAGACGTTTATAAATGTGGAGGAAAAACTCCAAATATACAGGCGCCAGGGTCGGAATAAAACCTACGCGCTCCTAAAAACCAGACAAGGTAGTTAGCATCTCGGCACCGTGGCGTCTATTATACCTCACCAATCCATACCAAACTACACTGAATTGCACCAATCCATACGTCACCATGCCACAGCAAGCCACAGTACGTGGGCACCCCCGTCGTAGAAGATCACATCACGCAACAACACATCATACCACGCACAGTTACACCACATTAAAAAAATTCACCGTGTGGCATCAAAATATGTCATACACACCATGGCACATTAAACAATGAGGCACTACAACTGAACGATACCATATCACACCACCCCACACCATACTATATCAAGGCACAGCACATCACATCAGAACACATGAATACAAATGGCACAGAAAGTTTCACAGACATTAATGGCAACACATACACAAGGACAAAATGGGCGCTAAACCACAGGTAACCAAAGCACGTTGGTCTGTACCACCCTGCTTAGAAAGTTTCCCAAAAACGCACCTTGAAATCAGCACACCCTTCCAATGCTGCACTGTCAATAACCAACAAAAAAGGAATAATGACGGAGGCTGCACACTTCTGATTTGCTTTTCAATTGAGCCGCAGAGAACAGTCAAAATGAGGCGTTTCACTTCCCCGCACCAGAGCGTGCGTGGGCGGCCGCTGCCCTGATGAAGTCAGGGGATGCGGTCTCTAGGGAAGGGAAACACAATGGCCGGCGCTGAGAACCCCTTCCTGCTGCCCAAGGTGCACGAGCCCACGTGGGAAGGAAATGACAACAGTGGACACTGCACCGGGCCACAAGGAAATGCACAGCGGCCCGAGGCTTGAATCAGCGTGAAGAGAAACGGCACCAGTGGGTTGTATCACAGTGCCATGCGAGGACAACGATTTGGCTTGGTTTTAAGGGAGTTCATTGAAAATGGCTGGCAGATTGGTTATCAGCTTAGTTATGGATAGTTTGGCCAGCTAGGAGTTAGTTGACCGGTGGTAATGAATCTATAATTATGGAATGGCTGAATTTCACTTACATCACATGAGTTATAAGCGAGTACCATTGAAATTATATCGCTCATTTCTAGTTGACTCGCAATAGGAGATTCACTACCAGTTGGTAAGTTAGGATTTTGTTGACTATGGGTAAGGTGAGCAAGTCAAGGACTAATTCATGAGTGCAAACTGGAAGCTGAAAAGCGAGTTGAACAAAATCAATGGATATTTTATCTTGAAATTCCGAATCGAGGAGCTAGTTGAATAGAGTCGAGGCTGATTAAGAATGGATTAGGTTCCAGTTTATGACGAGTTGACTAGGGCTAATGATTATTATGGGCTGGCTATCTGACGATGCACTAGATTACAAGAACAAAGGCCTGGATGGTTAAGATTTGGCTGACTTGGGCTCAAAGTAAAAAGTCAAAATGTTTAAATTCTCAAATGAGCAATGAGGGATGCTGTTCTGCATTGATTCACTACAGTATCCAAAATGTAACATTCCCATGGCTGGGACCAGTATTGCCATAGGACACAACTACTGTTGATTTACCAAAGAGATACTAATTTATTGACCTTGAAAGATAAAAATTATACCGATTTAAGAAACCTTATGGCCGAGTCCAATGGGAGAGGGGTCAATCCATTTGAGGCTAGAGAATAATTGAGAAAGCGCTAAAAGCATAACAAATGACTACAAGGACATCTATAAACTTTCGTTAGCCAGAAGAGATGAACGGTAAGTGTTGAGGTAGCAGGCCTTTTTTAGACCCTACCATACAATACCTGTTCATCATGGGTGACAGTGTCACACTCAAGCAAGAGGCAAGTGCCTATGACATTCAAGTGACTGACCAGTGCAACGATATAATAACAATTTCACTATCAGCGGAACAGCTGTTTCATTGCTCACCGTAGTCCACTCCGACAGCATTAACATTTTTTTGCTATAGTTCAGGTGTAGTAGTCTCCAAGACTACACCTAAAGGTGTGGACATTTTTAAGTGCAGTCAGATGTATCTAGAACTTATTTCACGCTGTACATAGCCACCCATGCGGGGGAAGGGCAACAAACTATAAACAAAAAGAAGTTAAAGAAATTAGTTTTTAATCAAGACTTAAAAGTGCATAGCTCAAGTGGCTTCCTAATATCGGAAAGAAGAACGTTCCAGATGGCCGCAGAAGAGCATCTGAAAGCGCACGATGAGGTGACCGTCTTTGTACGATGACCAGTCAAAACCCACTGCGAGGATGAATGGAGTTCGTGTGAAGGTTTATGCTCCCTGACGAGATTGCCTAGGTATTTTGGTTCATCTGTGGCAAGCTCTTTATGTGTAATGAGCGTGACCTTATAATATATTCGTTCAGCAACCAGAAGCCAATTGCAACTAGGCAAGCACTAGGTGGGCATGGTCGGGCATCTTGCAGCACCAGTCGGGTTGGATGGAAAAATAATTCTAGAGGCTGGAGAAAGGTTGACCAGGGGGCCTCCTTGTGACTGCCAATTGGAAGTTGAGCTGGAAGTCGAACAGCTATTCTGCACACATTGCTTACGAAAGGGATGACCAGTGTGGTGTCCCATCATGCATGGGCCATTAGCACCATTATTAGGTCACCCGAGTGACTCACTGCATTGGCTGTGTGGCTCAGCGTGTCAACAGTTATGATGTCAGGACTATTTTATAATGCAATATTAGGGTTGGAGCATTGCTTGAATAGGGAAATGTAGGTTTAGCATACGTATTGATTCATGCAAGAAACGCACGAGAAAATGCGTGGAAATATGCACACTACTTGGGATGCGTATCTAGTTTACAAGTGGTGTGCATGCACCATACAATATAAATAAAAAAAGTGCGCGAATGAATGCATAAATAACATTGAAACATGCTTTTCATGCCAATTAGACTTGCAGCCAAAAATAACTCTGCTGCCAAAAATGATCATCGGTCAAAGTGTGTTTCAAAGTTGACAAGACAATTATTCAGAGTGCATCACATCATGGGTGGTGGGGCAGTTTGTGGTTTGTGAGACACCACAGTACGGGGCATGGAACCAGATAGGCAAATTAGTCAATTACAAAAGCCCTAAAAGAGCTTTTGTAGTAGGGACTATACCGAAAAAGCCATGCTGTGTAATTAAGTGTTTTTTGTTCATACTTTGGATTGTTTTTCTTCTACACGCTTCACAATCGTGATTTATAAATGTGTTGAATCTCTTCAGAAATGCAATGGCTTACAAACACCCATTGGTGACAGTCAACGCGAGTCAAACACTTCATCAAGATAAAAACTACTTAAATGCTCACGATGATTGTATTGGATTGCACACGTCACCAAAGAGATGGTGGTCTTTATCCTTTAACGAAGGACACCAGGTCCCTCCTTCCCCTCTCGTCCACAGCTAAAGTAAAAGCATCTTTGATAACAGGAGTGATTGAAATTTTAATTTATACCCCACCCATCATATCCAATATACTTAAAACCCTCACAATGTAACAGTAATAATATCCTGAAGTGCAGTCGTCTCAAACCATCGAGCCCTTTCTTTCTTTGTTACAGTAAAACAGCTATTATTTTAATTGATATGATTTATGTCACGTGTGCTTGGTTGTTTGTACATGTTTTTTTTCTTTATCTAGAACTACAGTATCCTGACACTACTGTAAGTAAATTACATTTATTATAATGACATGCTCATTCCACCTAGAATATTAAGTGTGTTTTTTTTTTGTCATTGGTGGCCATCAACTGTGACTGTAAATTTGGTTTAATGGTGGGGTGATTTAAACCTGGGTACCAAACACAAACCCCATCATAGCGAGCTCTGTGCTGCATCACTCAGTAGTGCTGCAGATTGAACGTAGACCCCCTGGCTGCTATCCGGCCACTGCTGACTATCGCTTATGAACAATGTGTGTTGTACCAGCAAACCAACAAACAATTCTACCTTGGTCATCCGCCAAGAGAAGCTTCCCCTTGAAATAGCTACTGGGTTACATCATTAAAGCATGGCACACGAACAGGATTAAACTGATATGCCACCATACAAGACATGTATGTGTACCGTCATTCTAAAGTGGTGTCAATCTGTGGATTTCAATGTGCTTCAAAACATTCTGGATTCCTGTGTATTAATACTGATAAGGGCCGATTGATGCGAGTAAAATATATGTTGCGTGTGGAGATAGCTCAGGACAAAAAAAGAGTAGGAAAATAGGACCAGGAAGACAATCCCCAAGTTTGCAGCAAAATGGCAGAAAAAATGTTTTAGGATTATACAGTGTTGTCCAGCGTGATGTCTGACGTTTCGCTCCACGTGCTGGGGGCTTTTTCAGAAATTGAATGGAGCAACTCACGTTCTCCCACGATTACATAAAGTTGGCGGCTACTGTTGCTGATCTCTTTGATGTAGGCCAGCCGGTAATTTATTAGCTCAATCACCTGTGCACACAAGCTCATCACTGGTGTATACGCCCGGCCTATAAAGCACAACTGCCAAAATAAGCTGCAGTAAGAAGAAAATGTATACCACACAGTGAATGTAATGTTTACATACCTCCAGGAGAAAACAAAACGACCACTCATGCAACGCGAAACCTTTCAACTAAATTACACACTGCCATACGGGGGTACGCACCTCTTGGCATCATCCTCCTTGGGTTTGATAGACATGATGTCACGGCCATTGAGGATCTGCTCGATGTTCTTGGCGTCGGGAGCGCCATTCTGGTCCGGCGGCCCCGAGAGGCCGAGCAGCGAGCGCACGCGCTGCGACCGCACGTCCAAGATCGTGTCCGTGTAGCCCACCTCCTGCAGGTACCTGCATCAGCGCCGCGGGCATGGCAGACGCGTCGCGTACACGCACGCACACGAGCTGGGGCGACCACACTGGGAGCAAGGACACAGCTACAGCAACCGCACTGGGATCAAGAGACACTGTTGCACGTCACTGTAGAATGGCTGTTAATGCTGTTCGTGCTAATAATAAAGGAAAGAAAGGAACACTCGCATTTCATACCAAAGCAGTTTGCTTTCCTTAAATAAAATCATTCAGTATGTCTTTTTCATACTTGTGGACCGGGCATTGCATTGTTTTATGTTGTATGGTCGTGTTCTGGATGACCACAGTCGCACACTACTGGAGAGTTTTTATTTTCCTTTTGTGCATCAGTTTCTTGATCAGGTTGACACCTTGTTTTGGTCTTGGCAGCTACCTTCTTCAGGTGGTCATGGAAAATCACAAACTAACATCACTCAACGAGCACCCACCCTACATTTTACAAAAGTCAAACATACTGCCCCACACATTAACTGCTCCAGTGTAACCGAACAGTCGCCCGATGGCTTGAAGAGCAATTCACTACCAATTCACTACCATTCACCTCACTACCAAGTGTGGTCGTGAGGGGAACGGTGAAGTCATAAATAAACACACAGGTAAAGGGTCTGTTTTATTGCTGAAATAAATTAATAGGTTTTCAGGTGAATGTAAACCAGTAAAATGTGTTTAAACAAGTAAAAACTTGGGACTCGTTTTGATTACTGGATTTTATCAGGAATTGGTGGCCTATTAAAATGGCATTTGAGAGGACAATACTTGCTGATGATACTCCATAAAGTTTACGCCAGTCCAGGGCTTTGTTTAGTTTAAAAACAGGTTAATGGACATGCATCTGTTGAGATGGCCTACTGGTGAATGGGCTTATAGTATTGTTATCATTTTATGACTCACAATCCGCTAAGAAAATGAACACTTCACTTTTGAAATTCATTCACTCAAAGCAGTCAGCGAAGGACCTTTGCGCCAAATGCCTGACATCTTGCGACAGCATTCACATTAACTGCTCTTGCTGCCACACCGGTGTCAAGTGATTTGTTTGAGCCACGTATCACGGGAGCAACTACGGGGGGGGGCACCTTTCCTTTGAGGGTCGCAGTCCTCACTTCAATCGTCAACCGACAACTAGAGTGCGCAATTTGCTCGAGTTTGCGCATCAAGATGGGCGACGTGGGCACAAAGTTCAGTCGTTTCCATCTAACTAAGTTCTCAGTCGCTAGGAGACTGGTCGCAAATGCAATGGTGACATTTCTGACGAAGTTGAACCATCGGATGCCAAGAAAGCGTCTTCGGCAACGCATGTGGAAAGGACTGCAGCCAATCCAACATTTTTAAAGGAAGTGTATTTATTCTGCATGATGCAAATTAAATTCCTTTTTTTATTCAAATAATGAGACTGGAATCATCATCACCAGCCATTCATGCTCCACTACTAGAAAAAGGCTCCCACATGTTGACAGCACTGGCTCCAGCCACGTGCATTTCCCACAAACATGTGACTTCAGAATTCATCACCACTGTCCGCCCCCTGGGGTCATGCCCCAATGCGTGCCAAATGCCACCAATTCAACGACCACCCGCTCAGCACGCAGTGCTCAAATACAGGAGCCTAACGGTTGGATTGCGCGAGGCAGCCGCATGTTTAACAATCTGCCGCTGCCTCAGCGTGCGAATTAAAAAACGTAATCCAAGAAGTTGGGACAGCAGCATTGGGTACTTAACAGGATGCTTGAACAAGACGGTCACCCTCGCACACACGATGCAAGTGCCTGCCCTGGGCAGTGGGCACACCAATGAACCAACATCAACACAAGTAGAGAAATCAATACTTTTCTCGTCACGTGCATCATTATGACTTGGGCGGCAGGCATGTTCCTTCGTGTCAACTGCAATGTGCGGTCGAGTGTGTGGCCGGAGCGACAATGCCGAATGCTGTGTCACAGTGCGGTGTATGCTTTTAACTATTAACTATTTTGTATTTACCAAGTAAGGCCCACTGAGCTATTCAGCTCTTTTTCAGAAGCGACCTGGCCACAAATGATAGCTCAACATAGCGGCTTATCATATAGAATTTTATAGCAGCCAATTACTCTAAACGTATTTTTATGAATATGAAGTAAAAAAAAAACAGAGGCCCCCGGAAAAAAATCTACACGACCACGGAGAGAAGCTGCAAACTTCAGGCGTGAGGAACGGGACCGAACGCACAATCTCCTGTATACCAGGGCAAGGTAGTTATAATATCTCGCCACCACTGCGGCCCACTTTTGAGAAGTGTGCGAATCAACGTTGCACAATTTTTTTTAAACGGAAACAGTATTTCATACGCGCAATATACATGTACGACCCCTGATCAATCCACTGCTGGATGATGATCTCCCTACGTTGTGCATATCTTGGCGTTTATTTGATCGTGCTTTGCCAAGCCGGTCAGCGTGGGTTCATAAAGGCAGGGAGCAAAGCCATGGGAGCATAGAAGTGCAGTACAACAATGGATTTTATTGCACTGTCCTCTGCTGCCCACCACATCGCTTGTTGATAATGTAGAGAAAACAGGTAGTACTGAGTAATGTGGTGCAGTCTGTGGTACAGGATGTGAGTGACTGGGGCAATGCAATGTGTTGTGCAAAATATAATGAATGCTGGGTGGTATGTTGCAATGTGTAAAGTGAGGTATTGCGAGCCTTCGCCACTCCATTTGGACTCAAAGCCTACCTAGCCTGGCACATACAAGATGATGACAATGTCATGGCAGCTCAGCTGTTGTAGCAATAGATGGCAAGGCATGGTAGCGGTCTGGAAAGGTGCGTTACAGTGTGTGGTGTAGAGTATGAAGGGTAAAGTGTGAAACGGTGCAAGGCATGATATTGGACACAATAGATATTGCCCAGTGGGGCGACGCAGAGTGCGACCTACTGGCGCAGGAGTTGCCGTCCTTGCCTCCATGTCAGCTGGCTGTTGGAGGTCACCACCGGGGTGTCCGTGTCATTTGTCTCTTCTACAAACACAGACGAATACCAGTGTGAGCCAGCGCAGATAGGACATTCACTCAACGCTGCCACGAGTGATGCGAGAAAACACAGTGACGAATACAGTACAAACACACACGCACACACACACACACACACGAGACATGCGAACACAAAAGGGGCTTTTTTATTAGCCCGCATTTATTTATTTCGAAGTCAATGAATACAGAGCAATTTTTCATTTTCAAGTAGCAGGCACAAAGCAAATACCCGATATAAATGTGATCAAACCAGTGTTATCTTACAAATATGCAAAGAAACAGCTACAATGTGTTCCTGTTTGCAGAGGCAAAGAGAAACAGAGCCACTCGGCGACACTCATTCAGGAAATAGATAAATGTTATTTCGGTCGACTCACAACTGACAGGTCTGCAGCAACACACAAAACAGAAAAATGTAAGTGGTCATTCTTCACCACACCCAGGTGAGAGGTTTGTCCATAGCCATCGATGGCCTAGCCAGATGGGGCTGTGGCATGGTCAGCGCCACAATTACAACTATTGCGAGTTCAAATCCCTAATATCAATTCATCTCGTCAGCTCTCCAAGGTTTATAAAAAATGTAGTACCAAATTTTAGGAAAAGCAAAAGACACATTTATATATTTACACGATCAAACACAAAAAAACCTCTTATAAAAGCAAAACACATTTGTACTTTGGAGAAACTAATACCTGCTAAATTAATATGGGATTTCCACTACTGGCTCAAGATTATCAACAGATTAATGCTGTCCGAAACGAATTTGAAAGTGGATACAAGTTTACTTGTAAACTTTCAGAGGTCGTGGTGATGATGCCCTGAGTCACTTACAATATTTACATTCCTGTTGCTCCATTGAATGTGTGCAGCTACACGCCATAATACAATTCCACTTGGGTTTGTCAAAAAGAGCACTATTTTATAACAATCACAATTGTTTCATATTATATGCACTACGCATTCTTTATTGACTGGAATGCAATCGTGACAGCCCAAAAGAGTTGCCAGGAGCAGAGCCTCCGCAATGAACAAAATGGTGGCCAATTTATATTTGGATAGATGGACAGAAACTAAAAACTAAAACTGAACTATTTAAAAAATTTCGATTTAAAGCTTTCGTGACTGCAAGGATTCATCTTCTTTGGTTCTTTCGGTAAAGTCACGTAGAATGAGAATAAAATAATAAATTGATAAAATAAAATAACACAATAATATTCTCACGACGTTTCGGCCACAACACAAGCGGCCTTCATCAGGTGAAGGGACGAGACTGTCCTCCAGACTGTCCTCCAGACAGAGTCTCGTCCCTTCACCTGATGAAGGCCGCTTGTGTTGTGGCCGAAACGTCGTGGGAATATTATTGTGTTATTTTATTTTATCAATTTATTATTTTATTCTCATTCTACATGACTTTACCGAAAGAACCAAAGAATATTTTTAAAAATGTATTACTTTTCTGCAATGTCTCCTTTTTTTCTTTTTTAGCCTGTGGAGGGTGCAATTCGTTGTGCGGATGCCCTAAATAGTTGGTGTGAGCTCTTAGGGCTTCGCCTTTCAAAAAAAGAGAATAGTTGTTGAATTTTTGCCTTTGGATTCTCCCAGCCAGATACTGTAATCGTCATGAAGGCATAGTTAAGAGTGTGACGAGCTAGAATAGCCCCATACTGTACCGTGAGACAGAAAACCAAGTTGCAATTTTAAACATAAGACTGCTGCGCAACATTTGGAGACTGGAATAAAATTGCACACAATGTCGATGCACCTACTGCATTCACAAAAACAATGTGAAAAAAACGCGGCCCTATATTACAGCTCGACAACATCAAAAAAATGTGTCAAGTGGGATTCGCTGCCCTATCTCTGTGAGGCCAAAATTAAACGCATTTGTAGAGTGATCGACACCAGCTGGGAAGATAAGGAACACATTAAATGATTTTCATTGCATGAATCTACAACAACCAAAATTAACGGCATTGTACTACAAAACAGATGGTTCCCTAAGACTGCTGAAACATTGGCATTGCTTATTCCACCTTGGATGCACTTTTAATGGAAAATGTGCATCCATTTGCTTGGACCAAATTATTTATCAAAAGAGAAAAAAATGCACGCAGTCGTTACTGTAGAGGTCTACAACTGTTACAGGCCAGTGTCACACGACATTTGCTCAGTGATTTTCTAAGGTATGACGGCTGTTTAAAAGTATATACAAAGCACGTTATTAACCATCATGACCAGAGGCAGCTATCGTGTGTTTATTTTTAAGGCTGCAGGTTCAGTGGAGGTGGTAAAGTCCATATGCAGGTGGAAAGCTGAGAGTGAATGCAAGTGTAAAGCTTAGCTGGCAAAGACAAAACAATCAGCACGTATACGAGGAGCAATGCATGCAAATAGTGGGTGCTGTGCTGCATTGACTTTAATGGAATTCTAAAATCCTCATCTCTGAGTTCAGTGCCGATAGCACTAGGGTGACCAATGCATTTTAAACACTAAATATATTTCCAATAAACCACTCATGAGCAAAGAGTCTTCGTAGGAATTATATGCTCATCGCTATCGTAAGAAAACACACACTCTCAGTTGTGAATGACCGACATGATTTCTCATCATGTTCTAGAAAGGCAAGAGCTGAAACTGGTACAAATATAGTGCTGTCTCTGCCAATTAACAGAAAAATCATAAAAGCTACCTTTTTTTATTTCAGACCTCCAAATATGTAGTGAAAATATATTTATTAAGCCTGGCCCAGCAAATGCTGAAACGTGGAAAATTTGAAGGGTGATGAATAGAATTGACGTATTATTTTCAATAACCTAAATATTCTGGTAAATATTTGTACGAGTCACTGAAGCAAATATTAAGCAGGAAAAACCTTCTAGCAGTCACCAGCATATGTGCATACATATATACACACACACACATATATCCTTGGGAATAGTTTGACGTGAGCTTAAAAAAACCAGACAGGCCCAGGGATCATCACCCTTGTGATGGGCTTCATGGCCAACACGGTGGGAGCGGCCACAGAAGCACACGCCAGCACGACAGCATCACGAGCGCGCTCTACTCTGGTGGCCCGGCGCACACTGCTCAGTGAATGACCGATATAATTTATTGTGACTTGTAACTGGGCTATTTACCATCACCCATTTTCTGATTATGACCTCCCCAAGATGTTTGCCATCCCTCATGGTCACGCAGTGCAACAATCCATCTGCGTCCTGCACATGAGCCGATTTATTCACCATCTACATGGCGGACACTCTCAGGCATGATCCCTCCTTTGGTAACCACTCCATCATTATTCTCAACCACACAATGAATATTAGTCGTACATTGTGGCAGGACACAGCATCTGCCAGCACAGCTCATGCCATGCAAGCGAGGCTATTATAGGTCGATCTGTGCATCCAAATTCTGGCAGCACAACTGAAATGTCTGCTTGTTCAGACCATGGGGATAAAGGCCAAGTGAAATTCAGAATTCTGAGGTCTCCCTGCTCATACATGTACTGCAGGAGCACTTATCACTGTCAACGGGCCCTAAGAGGGGTCAATATCACATTCATATGGACGCCATGCGTACATTACATGTAAATAAAAGGCTGCATCATGTTTCAATAAAGCACTGCATGCTCCACAATTCCTTAATCCAATCCTTTTATGAGGCATGCTATTTGTAATCGACTGATTCCATTCAGCAAAGACTTCTCAAAGGAATATACATTTGGGAAAATGTACTTGAAGTATAAACGGTCAGAGACGTACAAATTCAGAATAGAATGTAGTAAGAAAGCATTGTAAACGCAATCAGGGATGAGAGGTTGTGGTGGATGGGGTACTTTTACAGACTGGAAGATGGCAGGTGACTAACACAGGCATTGGAGAGGTACCCAGAGGTCAGCGACAAAGCAGCAGGCTGAACACTAGAGCGTGGTGATAATGATGTAAGGACAGACCATGGAAGTCAGTTGCCGACTGTACAGTGCAAAGGTGGCAGGATCTGGCAGAGAAAAGGCCGTGAAGTGATGACAATGTGTGAAGTAAACACTGGCAGTGCCATTAGGGATGAAGGGATTTAAACTAAAATATAAACTATTTTAAAAGCACCCTAGCCCAACAAAACCTTCCTATCAACATCTGCACCTGAGCACATGTGGCTTAGGATAAGGCAGCCATTTCAATTTTGAAAGTCGTTCCTCATTAAGCAAAAAAATGCAGCAAGGAAAAACAATAAAATGTTTAAACATGTGTTGTTCCTGTAAGAACACATTTTATTTTTATTGTAATACTCAGCTTCAATGTGATGTCTTCTCATGATGAACATTGAAATACAGTTTAAATGGACATTATTAGCTGTAGATGCACTTTGTGCATGTTATGTAAGACTGCCCATAAATTAGAAAGCTGTTACATACGGCTATGGTTTTTCCAGGCAGATGGCATAAATATACATATGGCCCATGCTACAAATGTTAATGTACCAACACTAATAACATGTTTGCTATCGATTCAAATTTTATCCATCTTACACAATTGAGGTTATAAACGTGGATGCAGTGAATATCCTCTTCGCATGTGGGTCCAGCCATCCTCTGGCACTTTTCAACGGTTGGGTCTGACCTAAATCCCCAAACACAAAGCGAAGCATTTTGTTTTTTGACCACTGGAGGCCGCCAAAGTCACGTGACCACCACAGCCCATGGTGCTTCTGGGGCAGAGTGCAGTGTGGGAAGAGGGTCGAACCAGATATGTGTAATGCCCAGTAATAAAACAAGCCCAAGTCTGCTTGTACCATTCTTCAAAGGCATTGGCTCACTACTGTAATGCACGTGAATGTCACAATGACCTTGCAATGTACTGCAACTCGGTGTTGTACAAACAAGTTGGGCACGGTCACCAGCTGTATATGCACAGAGAACTCATAACTCAGGAAGAAGTGCAAATGCACATCACACAATTAGGATTACGGGTGATATGAGGAAGTGA